ACACAGTTCTTTTGAAAGTCCAAGCAAGATTATTTTTGCAGGTTGAGATAAGGTTATTCTAATATTTATTTGGAAAGACCAAGTACATAGCTAAAACAATCTTAGGTAAGAAGAATACATTGGTGGGGGGTCCATCCAGACTCAGTGTGTGAGTACAGCAGTTCAGGCTGAGGGCAAGGCTGGAGATCACTGGCAGAACAGGTAACCCAGAAGTAGATTCCCTACTTACACACCCAACTGATTTTTGGAAAAGGTATAAAGCAATTTAATGAAGGAGATACAGCCTTTTCAAGAGACGGTTCTGGAGCAATTGAATACTCATAGGAAAAAAGTGCACCCCCCCCCCGCCTAAACCTCTCAATGTACACAAAAACTAATGCAAAATGGATAAAGAAATTCAGTGTAAAAGAAAAATTATAGAAAGAAAATGGGAGAAAATCTTTGCAATCTAGGACCAACCAAAAATCTCTTAGACTTACTATCAGAAGCACTGCTTGCAAAAGGAAAATGATAAACTGGTCTTCATAGAAATGAAAAACTTCTGTTGTGTGACAGATTGATCCTGTTAAAAGAAATTTATGGAATTCGAGAAGATATTTGCAAACTACGTATCTGGCCAGGACTGAATATCTATAATACGGGAAGAGTTCATTATATATTCAAGAGTAAAAGAACAAAAATCCAATTAGGCAATTGGCTAAAGACAAAAAGCAACATCTCACCCAAGAGGACATACAGATGGCAAATAAACACATAAAAATGTGTTCAACATCATTAGCCGCCAGGGACTGCTCGGCAGGCTCCCCACGTGGCAGCACGCTCCTATCAGGGCGCTGGGGTGAAGTAGAAAGTGGGGACGCCAAGTGCTGGTGAGAATGAGAAGGGATCGGATCCTGCAGACTTTGCTGGTGGAAATAGAAAATGCTACAGACGCTTTGGGAAAGAGCTTACTAGTTTCTTGAAACACTGAGCTGGTGTGGTCCTGCGCTTCTGCATCCCACACAGTGCTGTGACCTGGAGTCGCCTCGGTGAGAAGCAAGACAAAGGAAAACAAAGCAAAAACTGCACAAGCTCAAGAGAATGACAGCCGTGCCCGCTACAAGCCTGCGTGCAGGTGTGCCGAGCAAATGTTTGTGAGGGCTCCAAGGAGGGAACAGCCCAGGGGTCCTCCCGTGTGGGTGGCCAGACACGCCGTGGCACAGACCGCAGGGAGCACTACACAGCCATGAAAAGGGATTGGCGTTGGGGCGGCTCCGGGGTCCATGGCCTGCGAGTGGGTCTTGAAAGGCCACCTGCCGTGGGATGTCATCAGTGAAACACAGAGATGATGAGACTAGATGGCAGATCCGGGGCTGGCATGCCGGGCCGCCTGGGCCTGAGGGCATCCTCGTGGTGTCCGGGTGTGATGTTTTGCTCTGGCTTCCCAGGCGGACACTAGGTGCTTTCCGCGTTGCGCGCTGTTCCTCTTCCTTTTCTCCCTGTGAGTTTCAGTGAAGCGGCCCAAACCGTCTCTCCTTAACTCTCTGTTTTCAGCACCGGGAACCGTGGGCCTGCAGCCCCCAGAGGCCGTGGGCCTGGCTTCCAGGCGGCGGCGCGGCCCCTGCCCCCAGCTGAGCTTCCCCCCACCTTGACCTCAAATATTCTCACCAGGTTGTTTCGGGGACTGCGGCCCGGGCAGCGCCCTGCGGGCCTCTCTGCCCCTCTCCCCGCCCTGCCTCTCCCGCCCTCCGCCGTGCCCGGGAGATGGACGTGTCTGCGCTTGGGGTGACGGTTGCGTTTTGCCTGCGTTAGTTACAGCGGCGCGTTCCGCCATCGCAGAGGCCGCGGGGGACACGAGCGTCGGCTGCGGCGGTGCCGGCGTCTCCCGGGCGCGTCCTCTCCGGCTGCGGCGGGAAACCCGCGCCGCGCGCGTTGCCACCGCGCCAGGGGCCGCGCGGCCGGCCGGGGCGCGCCGAGGCCTCATCTTCCCAGCCTCAGAACCGGCTGCCGACTCAGGGGAGCGGCAGCTACGCGCAGGGGGGTTTCCCGGCGCTGCCTCCCGAGCCGCGGGGCGGGAGAAGATTTACGCCGACCCACCCCCCAGGCCGCTGCGCCCACGCGCGCCCCCACGCGCCCCCCACGCGCGCCCCCACGCGCACCCCACGCGCGCCCACGCGCACCCCCACGCGCACCCCCACGCGCGCCCACGCGCGCCCCCACGCGCACCCCACGCGCGCGCCCCACGCGCACCCCACGCGCGCCCCCACGCGCACCCCCGCTCCGCGGCTGCTGTCCCCGCGGGCGGCTCGGGAAGCGGAAGGTTCCTCAGTCACTCGGGAGCACCCTGGAGCCGGCGGCCCCGCGCAGGGCGACCCGCAGGTGCAGCCCGCGCCCCCCCAGCTCCCACGCGCCCCGCGGGGCTGCTCCTCCCGGGGCCTCCTCGCCGCCGCCCGCCCGCGGGGGGACTGCAGGGCCCCCCCCCGCCCCTGCTCCGCCAGGCCCCGCTTTGGGGTCTTCTGTCCCCCTCTGGGTGACGCCCTGTTCTCCAGTTCTTGCAAGAAACCTGTTTCCAGCAAGTCTAGTATTTTGTTTTGCTCTCAAACATTCTTCATAAGATGGAATAAAAGGGCCCGTCCCCGTGAAAATGACTTTTTCCAGCGGGAACGTGATGGGGGGCCTGGGTGCCTCTGGGCTCGTTTGCTGTAACTCGTGGTGAAGGGTCTATACCCGCGTGACCGGCTCAGAGCAACCCGGGTTATCACCACCGTCCTCCCCCGAGCCGCGGGCGCCATCCGCGGGCCGGGAACGCCCTGGGTGGGCGTCGGTCGGAAACCGCGTTTCTCTGGGGTGTGGCCCGACAGGGCGCTCTCGGGGCAGAAGCGGCCAACGAGGCCCCCTCCCCGGCGTGGCGTCCGGAGTGGGGGGCGCGGCTGCCCCGGGGTCCCCCGATCTCTAATTCCTGAGATTCTAAACCCAGATTCATCGTGCAGCGAAGCACGTTAAAATAACGGCAAGAGGCCTCCCCGGTGGGCAGCGGTCGAGCGCTGGGCTGCGGAGCTGCTGCGGCCTCTGCAGCGCCGGTTCGATCCCCGGCTGCTCCCCGGCCACCGGGGGAGGGTCCCACATGGCGCGCAGACCTCTCCTGCCGCCCGCTGCTCCCCTCAGCAGTGTCCTTCGGTCCTTCTGCCTGCTCTGCTCCCCGCTCTGGCTCTGGTGAATCCTCTCACCCTCCCGCGCTTCTGAGTGTGCCCAGTGCTTGTATGAATAAATAAATAAATCTTAAAAAAAAAAAATAACAGCAAGAAAAGCGTTTTAGCTCCTCGCACGAATTATGAGAGTCCGATGCAGTTTGGATCAGGTAAAACATGTTTATTTTATGGAGCAAACTTGCAGACACCCGAGCGTGGTTTACCAGCCATACTCGGGCGCGGCGAGGCTCTCCAGCGGCTTGTTACTGAGTGTCACTTTCCAGGCAGCATAACGGGGGGCAGGGCCCCCCTTAGTGCCTCGGGAACCATTTCCCTTGGTGGAGGCTCTCCCAGACGCAGGGACAGCCCTGGCTGTGGCTCCCAGGTGGTGTGGGGGTGACGGTAACACCCTCCTGGGCCACTCCCAGGCGGCAGATGCCCCCCTGTTAGGAAGATTAGGGTCCCCCCCCTGCCCTGAGGCCTGGGCCTCGCTGCCGAGCACCGGCCTCCAGCACCTGTCACCCGTCCCGCGGGTCAGGATGCTCTGGAAGAAGGTGGTGGATGGACACAGGAGCTGGGCAGACAGGACGGTGCGAGGGGACAGAGGCATGTCGGGGGGTGCTGCCCTGGGGTACACAGGCAGCGCGAGGCCTCACGAGGTCCGGCCAGGGCCGGGCTCCATCTTGGTCTTAAGACCATGCTGTGGTCACTTACTGTGGCCTGGGCAGCTGTGCAGCCACCCGGTGTTGGGTTCTTGGTCTTTACTGCTCCGGGGAGGTAGGAGCGGTGGCCCAGCGCCCCCAACATGCACACCTGACATTTGACTGCGGCCAGGAGGGAAATAAACCTGCAGCAGCCCCATAGCAGCTAATACCACCTCCTGGTCCTGGGGTTCCCCAGAGGATGGGGTGCCAGCGGCGGTTCCCTCTGCTGGGGGCCTGTGCTCACCGTGGGCTGGATGGGCCCGGGCTGCCCTGAGACTCCGGCCTGCGGCCGAGGCACACAGTTCCCAGGCCTGGGCTCCCTCTTGCTCCCGCCAGGCTGATCATCTTCCCAGTGCTTTCATCTGTGGGCGGGCTCCCTGGTCAGCTGCCTCCCATGTGGACACTGGACGCTCAGGCGGCTCCGACCAAAGACAAGGGTGGGGCGACCGGGGCCCCTGGGAGCGCTGGTGTACACCCGGATGCACATGTCCGTGTGCGCGGAGTGTACGCTCGGCTGTGTGCTTTCTCGCCCAGTGAGGTGGTGGGAACAGTCTCTGCGCGCGGGGCTCGGGAGGCGTCGCCAGACCAGCACCCGTTCCAGGCACTCAACGGAATGGCCCGCGTGGGGGGAGGCGCCGGGAGGCCGTGGAGCCTTCTGTGCCCCGGGATGTCCAGCTGCCCCGGGCTGTCTCGTCGGGCAGGGAGAGGACAAGGCAGGAGGCTGCAGCCTGTTGCGCCCAGGGAGATGGCTGAGGCTTTGAACAAAAACTTGGGGGTGTCTGTTTATCTGGGACTATTGCTGAGCGGAGCCATTGAGTTGGGTTTTAATAATTAGCAGGAGGACGGCGCGGGCGCCGCTCCACACGCAGGTTAATTACGGCGGAGACATAAATTCTCCTGGAAATCGTTTCTGTTTCCAGACATGGGACGTTGCTCTTTACGATCTTTACGGCGCAGAACTCCCGGCTGCGGGTGCGGACAGAGGCGCTTTCGCAAGGAAGTGGCGGGGTGGGCCCGGGGCACCCTTGGTGGCCAGCGGCCCATGTCGTGATGTGCACTGGGCGTGTGCGGGGGGTACGGGTTGGCGTCCCCCCACCCCCTGCCTCATGGAAGCTTGTTTCTTTCCCAGCCCGGGACGCCGGGGACCTCCCAGAACGGGGCGGCCGGCTGCATGGACTGAGTCCGTAGAGAAGGCGGCGGGATCTCGTCACTAATTACACGTCTATAAAAATAACAAGGAAGACTCGGGGCCAACATTTGGTGGCATTTATGCTAACGTGCTGCTGGACCTCCCAGGAGAAGGTAAGAAGAGCAGGTCTCATGATCCTGGGGGTGTCTCGCCGTCTGCCCATTCCCAGGTGAACTTCCTGTGGGTTTCTGAGTGTGTGGACCAGCCCCGGCTGGCTGATGTCCATCTGTCCAGACATGCCGTCTGTCCATTTGTATCCTGTGTCCATCCCTATTGAATTCTCCAGCTCTAGGGCTTCCTGACCATCGCAGCGGTTCTGCTGAAGAACTTTTGCAATAGTCAGTAGCCCAGATAGGTCCGTGTTGGACGACCTGGCCCGTCCCTGCAGCTCAGTGAGAAACGTCCTTTGCAGAAAGAGCAAATGCTGCTGCCTCGCTGGGGAGTCACCGCCTGATGGCTGTTTGTGCCGCGACTGCTCCTGTAGTTTTGGCTGTTCCTGGGTGTGCAGGGCGCAAGGTGAGCAGCTCGTAGACGCTGCAGTGACGCGGGGCTGATGCGTGCAAGGCTCCCGCTTCGGGTCCTGGGCTTGGTGACGAGCCGTGACCCCAGGAGCATCAAGGCCAGAGACGGGACCTGGCCCCATTCTGTGCTTGTCCGGCAGCCATGTCTCCCCAGCGGCTGACGATGGCTGACTCGGCCGGCGGGCTGAGGCTGGCCTCAGAGCTCTGGCTTCTGACTTTCCTTCCGTTTGCTTCTCTCTTCCTGGAGGGACTGTGGCCACATTCAAAACTGACCCGTCTTTAAAAAAGCCCCCAGGTACCTGTTCCCGTAGCTGGAAAGGCTGATGCTGCAGGGGGCCAGTCCTTGTCTTTGTTCCCGTGTCTGTAATTTTCTGCAGGCCGGCCTGGACCACCTCTTTTGTGAAAGGAGGCAGCGTCCCCAGACATAACCTTGCCCTCTAGGGGTGTCCCCATGGTGATCTGAACCGATGTGGCCCCCCAAGCTCCTTTGATGTGATCAGGTCGCCTTTCCCCTTCAGAGCTAGGGTGCCCTGGTCCCATCTCACCTGCCCTCCTGGAAGGTGGAGGGCATCGCCCTTGAAGGATCGGGGCACATGTCTCCACCCCCAGCACCACCTCTACCTGCAGGCCCCCCTGGACAACCTCCTGGCAGCAATGGGACACATACCCAGAACCTTCCGTGGCAGAGCTGCATTGCCATGGTTTACGTACTCAGGATGCGGCGTTGAGGGAGTCGATGCAGGCGTGAGGACTGACGAGGAAAACGTTGATTTATGATGATATCAAAAACATGGCATGGTCCCCAAAGATGTGTCCCGAAGCTCCGAGACCTCAGGTTTAAGCTCTATTAATTTCACAGAGCTGTCTGGGATTACCCGTCTGTTTAAAGGTTAACTGTCTCCACACTTGCGAAGTGGGTATTTCTGTTTGGGTTCTTACTTGGCTCTTGTTAATGATTTATAAAATACAAAATGGAAAGCCAGTGCAGTAGCTTTAAATCTTCACGTGGAACACCTGCCTGAGTCTATTCAAGTCCTTTTTGGGGACAGCTTGGACGTTCTGCGACTCGACGCGTCTCATTTTGAATGAAGTTCAGGGCAGCGCCAACCTCCAAAACCCCGCTCTTCTGCAGGAATTCAGTCGTCTGGGCGAATGTCCTCAAGGGCACGAGTTTCCTCCTGGGTCTCCCTTCTATTACCTTTCCCATGAGGATTATTAAATACCTGCCCTCTGCACTTACATGCGGCCGTGTCCTGCTTGGCCCTGTCACATGCCTGGGACTTTGCCCTCCTCGGAAGGAGCACGTGTTTTCTCTCTGAGAGTTTTGGAGGTTTGACAACTTGCTTTGCAAATCTGGTTTCGAATGTTGAAAATTCTAGACCCTCAGACAATGCATTAGTCACTTGTTTAGCTTTTGGTCCTACTGTTAACAGAATCAGGCACGGAGGCGACCGTTGGTATTTCTCTCGCTAGAGACCCTGCTGAGGTGGGGCGGTGGTACCCCCTCCAGAGCTCCCGTCTCCTCACAACCATGTGCCCTCCGTGGGGTGAGGCGTCCTGGGCACCGCAGGAGGCGGTGCCACTCCCGCTGGCCTCCTCCTCCTCCACATGCTGGGTTGCTAAGCTTCTGCAACACACTGGCCTTGGAGCAGGGTTGCCATGGTTACCCGAGCGTAGCCTCACGGTTGGCGTAAATGCTAACACGGCTTCATCCCAACTTTTTCCCATCGCGTCGTCCTATCGGGAAGTTTTCTGAGCCCTCCTGCTCTATCCGTGTGTCTGTTACTTGGTCGCGGAGATACACATGTCAGCATGTGAGATGCAGCCAAAGCATCCAAGAAACAAACGAGTGTGAGCATCTGTGGATCACGCGTGATTGCTTAAAGCGATCACCTGTGAATGTCCGGCGTTTTGTGTTTATTTCGGCCATTGTTGTACAAAGTTTTGCTCTCAACCCGCGGGGCTGGCCCCATGGCCTGCGCGCTGAGCTGTGGCATATCTTGTCCGCGGTGATGGCGCCTGCCGTCCTGGCCTCGTGGGTCATTGGACGAGATGCAGCAGCGCGGTGGGTTAAGTTTTCATGAGTTTTGGTTTGTGGTTTGGCCACGCGGAGAAGTGTCCCCGCAGTGTTCTCGTGGCCGGTCCTTGGGCCGGGAGGCCTGTCTGTAAGTCGCATACTCTTTCAGGAACTTCTCCTAATTTTGGGTCAAACTAAGTGACATAAGCTGTGAGTCCAGCTAGCCGGCCACCGCATGGAATCCCGCTGCATCATCTTGTCGGGGCAAGAGTCTTCCCTGGGTGAGCGCTGTGCCAGCCCAGGGTACGCTCAGCCAGGATGATGCCAGTATCGGCAGGGAATGTGTGCCCGGCCCAGAGCACGGGTCCCGGCGTCGGAGGTTCAGGGCGAAGCCCTGGTTCCCCACGCACCGGCCCGAGCAGTCCTACAGCCCCCATCCCTGGCTGCCTCGTCTGTGGGTGGGGCGTCCGCAGCAGCTGGCCTGGGAGGGCGCGTGTGTTACGGAGCGAGTCACGGTGGCCGTCGGCTTCCTGATCCCACTGTCGCATCGCCAGGTCATGTCTTTGAGTGCGCTTGAATCCGAATGATTGTGGCAAAATAAGAAAGGTTAAGACATAAATAATAGCTGTTTCATTGAAAAAGTCAGGACTTAGTCACGATTCATCTGGGGCACACATATCAATAAATGGTTTCAAACTAATTGCTCAGGTCACGAGCGCGCTGTGGCTCCCTCCTCTCTCCCGCAGTCTCTGCCCCTTGCGCCTACGGAGAGGCCCCTCACCTGCCCGTGCCAGGCACTGCGGTCAGGATAGACTCCAATAGCCTTTCCAGCCTTAAAACCCAGGAAGAAGACGCTAATACCAACAACAACAATAATAGCCCCTTTTTAAACATAAAATACAAGGCAGGGCAATTTTTGATTAACGGTGCTCATGACACAGAACGCGCTTCTCACCCGACTTGCGGGCCCCCCCAGGCCCAGTCTCCCCCAGGGCCGGAGGGGTCAGAGCACTTTCCACACCGAGGCTGGTTCCTTTTGTGTCCATCTCTGTCTTTCTCCACAGCTCTGCTTTTCAAAAGTTGCCTTCTGCGAATGTTCTCCAGCTGTTGAGAAACTGGTTTTCATCTGGCGCTTGCAGTTGTTTTTGAGAGATTGATTCAAATGCATAAGGAGTCCCAGAGACAAGAATTTGCATTTAAACAAAAATTATTAGATGGGAACACTGAGGCTACACCAGGGAGGAATGTCTAACTCTCTCCTTTCTTTGGACCCCACCCCCAGCTCTTTGGTCCACGCAAGCTGCAGGCCAGGGGCAGCCATGGGCAGGGCAGTGCCCCCCGCCCCCAGCACAGCCAGGGCCCTCGGATGACCCCCAGTTGACCCCAAATTTGTTTTGGTTGATTCCAGATCCCAAGGACAGACATTCACCTCCAAGCGCAGCTGAATGGTGACATAACCTCTGGTGTCCCCACGGCTTTAATGCGGGGGGCTGGGCCACATCCCAGCGGCTCCCGCAGCTGGTCCAGTGGACACTGGGCTGAAAGGCCCTCAGCAGGGGTCCCGGGCTGAAAGGCCCTCAGCAGGGGTCCCGGGCTCAGTTTCAATGACCGGGTCTGCTGACCTTTCCGGTGACACGAGGCACAGGCAAGAGGCCAGGGTGAGTCTCTTGTGGCCAAACCATCACTCAGAAGGGGGAATATTTGAGCATGGGCTGTGCGGCAGGAGGGCCACGGCTGCTGGTGACCGTGCACAGAAGTGGGGCAGAAACGCTGCCGCCGTGCAGCACAGTGGCGGACGTGCCTCTGCGGGTTCACAGTCACGCCGTCAGGGACTCTGCGGAGCGAGCATGCTGTGCTTCGTGGTGGTCACAGAGACAAAAGGAAAATAAAAATGACACAAACATAAGTAAAAGCAACTGGAAAGAGGGCACAGCGCACACACCCCAGGCCTTCTAGACAGTAAATAATAACAAAGACCAACACACAGAGCCGCCTCCTCCACTTTACTGCACCCCCGTGACCCCCCAGCGAGGTTCTGTTGAGCAGCCGTGTCTGTGGGTGACCTGGGTCAGAGAAGGGGGCTCCGAGGGACCCACCGGTGGAGCGTGAGGGTGGCAGCCATCAGACCCAGACGACCCTGGGGTGGGGGGGAGCGTCGCAGGGCCGGCCAGGCAGGTCTGTGGTCTGGCCCCGGCCTCTGACTGTCCCAAGAGCCAGGGTCGGAGGTAGGAGGTGGGGCTGGAAAGAGGGGAGGCTCCTGGCAGGCTGGTGGCATCAGCCAACCAGGGCCAGCGCTGGCCTCCCTGCCCTGCTGCCCCCCACGGCCAGCGCCGTCCAGTCGTGTGCTCTGTGGCAAGGGCCGTCTCCTCCCCCGTGGTCGGGACGTCGGGCCTCGTGTTGGTTGGGGTGAAGGTGGCATGGCCAGGCCAGGGCACCATCTCTCAGGAGACCCAACGGAAGTTCGTCCTCACCTGGCGTGCGCCGGCCTCGCTCTGGGGCGTGAGCACCTGCGGTTCCTCTGCAGGCGCCGCCCACTGTGCTCCCAGCCCAGGCCTCTCAGGTGCGGGCAGCGCCT